ATAGAATACATACACTTGTATTATATTGAATCACCAAGTATAGTTTCATAGCATAGATGCACGGGTAGATACTCTATAGAGTCAAAGAAACCATACAGAAATATCCGCTCAAGCTTACATAATATTACTGGAATACTCACTTCAAACATTGGATAGTAAGCATTGAAGAATATTACATAATATTACAGAAATACTTCACATAGGTCATTGAAGAATGCACTAATTTTGACTAATAGACTAAGTATCAGATTTGACAAGTCACTAAATACATTGGATAGTAAGCATTGTTAGAAAATGTGGTATTGATGGTTTTTATGTCGAATATCTTCCATGCTCCCACGTCAACTCAATGGCTCAAGTTGGACATATATTCTCTAAGAAATTTAAGACAATACATCCATTCACATAATGTTCTTCGTTGATCCAATGTTATATAACACTTAGCTTTTGATTTTATTATTTTATCTTCACGCGTCTATTAAAGTTCTCTCCCCCTCGTCCTAGAGTACTCCTTCAAGTTCAATCTCACTTTGATATTACCTTTAGTTTTGTTTTTAATATCCATCACGTTATTGAAGATATTATCATAATTTTTTTTAATATACATGACATCGAGATTATGTTTGATCAATTTGGTCCCCTAGTATGTAATATTCTAAAAAAATACTTTATTCTGCTCAATTATGCGTAACACCAACACCAAGAAGTTGATTTGAAACTAATTTTAGGCACTCGGAGATCTTCGGTATTCAATTAATCATCTACCATAAATTATTCTTAGGTATCCTCAAAGGAGGATTCGATTTTTCAACCCAATTTTTCCAGAAAACATCTCTATTTCTTCTTAATGGGTGATTGTAGATTAGAAACATGCGATGACAATCAAACCAATTTTTTTTCTCTTGTTTTAAGGTGAATACCTTAGAAAGATACAGTAAGAGCAACCTAATTTTCTTGTAGTGCTCTTAGTAGATAACATCCCAAAGCCGACAAATCACCAATCGTCCACATTAGGGTAACTTTAAGCTAAAAATTCTATTTCGTAGCAATATCATAATTAAGCACATTTATTTCTCATAATATTTGTAGCTCATCTATTAGAAGTTGTAAGTAAACATCAATTTTTCGCTCTAGGCTATGTGGATCTGACATAATTAATATAAAAAAAATAATGACATGACCATGCACATAATAAGAGGAAAGTTATATGACGTAATAATCATTAGTCAACATGACCAAGGAGTTATAGTCTGACTGTATGGTGTGAACACACCTACACATAAGCCAAGTCTAATGTTGTGTGATTCAACAACAAAATCGAGATAAGTATGATCAATTTTTTTTCATATTTCCTCATCGGGTATATGACTCAAAGAGTCGGTATTAACATTTTTGTAATCGTGTCATATCATGTGAGAAGCACTACACATAGAAATAAGTAATCTTTAAAGTAGTGAAATGAGAGGGAAGTAGAAGAGACTCTATGACACATTTTCTGTTTTTAAATTTTTCGATCCTTTGGTTTGAATATCTCAGCACTAAAAAATTTGCATTGCGTGTCTATTGTATTTGTTTTATAACACTGTGTGTAATCATTAACACAACAATTTATCTCTGTTATATTATCCTAATTTAAAAATTCTTTTTTTTTATGTAGAGGTCATCTAAAACTAAATTTTCCTTTGTGTTTATATCATTTAGTAATACTACAAATTGATTAAAACATTCACTACAATAATTTAGTTTATTATCGAATGTCAAATATCGTCGGTAATAATAGATAAACTATAGATAGTATATTCATTGTCAATTTAACGACGATAAAATTGACATAACAAAAACACTTATCGGTAATGAAATTGTTGACGAATTTAGCAACGATTTACGTTTGCCGGCAAATATTTGACGTGTAATAACCATCGCTCTAGATCCAAAAGTATGCCAAATTTAACCGCAGCTTAATTGCCGTTATATAAGTGACATAAGTACCATAGGAGAAGTGTTGCACTACCGTCGAAAAAGTGTCGCAGTTCCATTGATAAAATGTCGCTCAACCACCAGTTAACTGTAGGAATTTATTGATAGTTTTATCCATAACAAAAGTACAACACTTTGTTCGGATGTCGTTTGTTCAACAACCTGTTTGAAAACTATCAGAATATAATCAAAGGGTAGTAATACCTTCGAAAATCCATCGAAAACATGTACCATAAAAAAAAATAAAAAACCTCTTTCACACTACAATCTACACACCTATAATCGCAACTGTGCAATCAAAACAAAGTCCTACACAATAACTAAAATAATTAACACATAAATCATATTCAGAAATAAAAGAAAAACAATTGAATTAAATCAAATGATATGTACAACTGCACAATAAAAATAATGTTCGTTATCAATAAATTGTTTGATATACAAACAAACAAAAAATAACCCTATAGTCAACGTCCTCATCATCTTGTGTCATCTGCTCATCATCAACATCCTCAGCCTCATCCTGCACCGACTCCTTTTTTTTGCAGTTCATAACGCAACACCATTTTGATATATGCCCTCATCTCCGCACCACTTTGATCTCTGCGCTCATCTCCGATCTCAGGGCGGCTACCTAGAAAACAACTTGACGACACATCTCCTCCTCCCGTGAAGTGAGAGTAGATGCATCAGAAGTGCTAGAGGTCGAACAAACATCATAGGCTGGCGTGTGGGACACCAACCCGTAGACCCTGCTCTTCTTCTTCCCACTGACAGCCTCCCTTCAGGGATCTTACTCAGAAGGTTGGCGAGATGTGCCTGAACCACAACCCGATTGCTGAGATCGGCTCTCATTGAGCCTTTGGAATGCCTTGAACAAAGCATATGATTAATGAAAGTGCGGGACTAAATTATTTTTTATAGTTATTTGAATTTTATATTCCTTAATCTTGTAAATTACCTGGGTCGTCTGCAAGCCGCTGTCCACTTAGAATTGATCCGACTGCCGCCTATGAGTGTGCTTGTGTAACTCTGCAATAATTGGCTCTCGTCCATTTTCCAGTGTCTATCAATGTAATGGAATAGTTAGCATACATTTAATATATAATCAAATTTAATGCAAAATAATGACTCTTACTAGTCTCTTCTTGTACTTCATATGTGGGAGCGCTCTACCGGTGTGTTTCGACGACCACGTGCCCCTGCAGTTAGGGCGGCGATTCAGCTTTGCCTGCTCCCTCTTCCTCTAATACCTGAGAGAGTCTCAGACCCTGAGTAGTGCGACAAACACATCCTCACCTAGCCACAAGGGGCGCTCACGTGCCCAGCGTATATTGCTGAATTGGTCGAGTAGACGATCACTCGTCTTGCGCTCGAAGTTCCTACGGATGTGTGCCTCCTCCTCGGGAGGCCAAAACCATTGTTTCAATAAATTGAATTAAAAATTCTTATATTCATAAAAATAAATACAAAATTGTAATTACTGTGTTCGGGTTTATCTTAAACTCCCCAAACCACATATCCCGAGCTGTCATCAAAATCTCCATCCAGGATAAGTACGGTTGGTCGTACTTGCCTCTACCTTATTGGTAGGACTCACCTTAATATATGTTATGAGGTACTATTGGACTAGCTTCTTCTAGGATTTTTGATGACTTATTATGTTGAATAAAAGTTTTAACCTTCTAAAAAATGATTCAACTCAAATAAAAATAATCAACTCACTTTCAAAATTATAAAACTCAACTGAAAAATAGACTGGAGTTACCACTATACTTCCCAATATCTGGTGCTTTGGATTCCTCATCCAGTAACTTTCAATAAGAACAACTCTAAATTTGAGCCATCATTTTTCAGACTCTGAATAACAATTATGACATCTAATGTTATAGTCTATAAATTTAGTAGTTGTTATTTTAATCAACTATTACATTTTTAGTCATTGAAAGAGTGCTCACACTTCTATAAAGGTTGGATTTTATTTGTCACTAACAATACCAAGCTATTGCGCGCTAGAAATTTCTCAATGTAAGAGAAATCTTATGTCTTTGCTTGATATAATTTTCCAATATACACATATAGGAGTATAAATGACAAACAAATTTTTTAATGTGGAAAACTCCTGAAAAGAGAAAAAATTATGGAGTCTAGCCAAAATAATTCACTAGAAAATTGAAAGTATAGAGGTTCTATTTTCTTCACAATTAGGGAAGATGAGATTGCTAAAACTGATAAGCACAATTTTATAATAGCATTTTGACTGTAATTTCTATAATTGAGCTACAAGAATTGCAGTCGTTAGTTACAATAGCAATAGTTGGCTATAACAATCATTGGTGGGGGACAAATGTGGCATTTGGTGGTCTCCATCGAACTTTGGTGATTTAAGATAACTATCAGAACTTCAAAAATTCAACATTAATAATTAGTCCACTCTCTTCTCTTCTCCCCCCTCATCTAATGAAGATTGAGAGTCTATTTGGCCAATCTTCATAACACTTAATTGAACGGTCTTCATTGTTTTCTTTGATAACATGTAGTTTTTCAACATTTAAGTATCTTAACAACATCGAAATTATATGATCATAGGTTCATTGGTTTTCTCTCATTGAAATGTTTTATTTAATCAAAAGCATGTCGAATTATGAGATCATCTAGCCTTTCAATTGATACACAAAACCTTTGATCACACTTCAGGAGTTTAATGAGATCTTATTTGAGCTCAGCTTGTTTCACTTCTGTCTTTATTGAGTTATTATTTAGGCTCAATTTGTTTCACTTCTGTCTTTATAGAATTCTTCTTGTATTGATTATTAACTTATATTTTTCCTCAAAATGCATGGAGATTCATGTCTGATGACAAAAAAATCTTGATAAATTTTAGGCGTTACAAGTGCAAATATATAAGAATTGTCACATTTTGTTATTTTATATTAAGACTCTAATCACAATGCGTCAAGTGTAAGATTTAGCTCATCGTAAATTAAAATATTTATTTTTGTATAATTCGAGTTTGATGCAGTTCTGAATTAGTACTACTGATTTAATATTTTTTCCACTGAGCGAGCTACAGATCTATCGCTAACGGCGGCGTTTTGGCCGGCATCGAGCAAGGAATGGCGTGGTGCGCTGCTAGGTCCATGTCGTCGCCGATGATCGACCTCCGCCAGCTGCGCCGCCACGCGCCGCTTGCTGCTGGAATCTGCTGCGCTTCCTTCGTCGGATCAAGGTCCTTCTCCACCTCTGTTTCAAAGCCCTTTGCTTGCGCTAGCGCCTCCTTCTCCACGGCCGCCGGTACGATCTTAACCTTGTTCCAAGTATTTCCTGTAATTTGTTTAGTATTAATGACCATTCGGTAGATGCTTGCCAGTTTAGGTAAGGTAGGGGAAGCGAGGAGAGTTTGTGGTGGTCAAATTTCACTTCCAATAATCATGATTTGAAAACTCACGCTTAGAACATCGGGTCCTCAAAGCATAGATTAATTCGTTTAAGGTGATGCCATGATCATTTTAATGTAGACTTATTATTGCGTTTATGAACTTTAGATTTTATACCGATTGATGACAAGGAGCAACTACAGTGGAGATTATGGCATGACCATATATCTTCATTGGTTAGAAGGGAAGAAGAGATTACAGAAGATGAAACATGAAATTGGTAGGGCTAGAGAAGGAGAAAGAGAAAGAGAAAGAGGAGCTTCATGGCTAGAGACAAGAGGGAGGAATTCTTTTCTTGGATGGGATGCTCCAAGAAACTCCTTTTCTTATTCTATCGTCCACCATTGGAATTACATGGCCTACTATTTTATTTAGAATCATAGGCTTTATTAAAAATAACAAAACTATCCTTGAAAATATAATAATTTTTTTAGAGGAATTTTTCTTGAGCATTCCATATAGATTGAGCTTTAGTTGCTTTGAAAGTGGATTAATTTGGAGGTTTTGCCCTTATGTCATGGGTTTGTAGCTTAGAAGTTTCCTTTTATTACATTGCTGATTAGGAAAAGGATGTCATTAGTTCCAATGCTTCATTTTAGAGGTGTTCTACATCTGTTATGAGCTTGTTGCTTAAATTTTCCTCTTTTTATGTTAGTTATCATGAAAAAGATAGTTCCCGCGAACTCTATAAGTATTGCCCTCAAGTTAATTATCAGTTTGATAGAACCGGGTATTTACGTACATAGTACACAATTCTCATGTATTTACATATCTCACGCGTAAACTTTCATATTTACACACATAGCACTCAAATTATTAATATCACATAAAAATATCACTATTAACATTTTTTAAAAGTGAAATACTTTTTTTCTTGCATATGTTTAAAGCATCAATGTGCTATATATGTAAATATGAAAACTTGGGTTTGAGATTTGTAAATACATAAGAATTTTGTGCTACTTATGTAAATTTCCTTGTTTCTTACATACTGAAGATCATTTTCTTCCTTGACATCAGAGAAAAAAGAAGCTATTAAGACAGAAAAGGCTCCTGCTGCTTTGGGACCATATTCACAGGCTATTAAAGCGAATAATTTCCTTTTTGTCTCTGGTGTTCTAGGCCTAATTCCTGAGGTTTGTTATCTTTTTAATATGGCTTCTCCTTCTTCTATAAGTTGGTGATTGACTTTTACCATTTTGTATTGGATGTGTAGGTGTTACATTTTGTTAATTTATTGTAAATTTGATATACAGACTGGGAAATTTGTGTCTGATAGCATAGAGGAGCAAACTGAGCAGGTAAGTGAATTTATTAACTTTTACTTTTTACTTTCTTCAATAGCAGCTTTTTTCAATCTATGGTTAAGCTTTTGTTAAATAAAATGAAGTTGAAGTTGTAGGCTTAGTTGGATGGGTGTTATTCCTTTATCTGGCATGCACTAAATTCTAGCATTACTTGGATTTGTTCTATCATTGTCTCTATTGCGTGCTAGGAACAGTTTCAAACTCAGGTTGGACTTGGATAGATGAGTTTTTTTGTAGCTGATAATATATCCTGCTCACAATAAGTGTAAATATGATGTTAGGAGGCCAGGTCAGGGATTTTATTTTAAACCTTTTGCGGCCCAAATTAGTGGCTAAGCTTGTGGTGAATATAAACTAAAATTAATTCAGCTAAAGTTTCCCATATGATGAAGAAATGCGACCTCTGAGAGAGCACCATCCAAGGGCAAAAAGAGTTAAACATGGGCCTTAGCCATGCCCCGAGATATTTATAAAAGCCTAGATAAAGGGTGCCTTATAGCTCAACGAAACATAAGCTGAAAAGATGAGCTGCCTTGCATGCAAGATTTATGCTGGATCAAAGTGCCTTTGTTTTAAGGCAATAGAGAGTCATTTTAGTCCTTTGATTGCCGAACCATAAAAAGCCATGATATATCATCCTCGAGGTTTATGCTGAACTTCATACCTCGACCTAGAAGGACCATGTTGTGCAAAGATCATAGAAGTATGTGACACGAGGGCTGGGTGGGATCCTGGATTGGTTCCGTCCAGGTTGAGGGAAAGCCGGTCAGCCCTTTTTAGGCCTAGGGTTGCCGTCCAATTGAAGTTGGGCCCACTCCTAATAATATTAGGTCTTAAATATATTTTTGATGTTTAGGGCTTAGTTTTTTATTTTTTTGAGCTTGTAGAGGAGTCATCGACTCCTTTTTTCTCTTTCTAGAGTTGTATCTTAGGGTTTCAAATGGTGCTCCGACTATATATTGGTCTCTACGCGATGTTTATTCTTCGTATACCTTTCCTCCATCGTTTCACGCATCACTCCCAAATTCCCTTCATTGTTTGTCTGTTGCTGCCTCTCAGAAAATAAGAAACTTACTGTTTTTTGTATCCAATTTGCCGCCTCCGCCTAGGGACAACAGTTGTTTTGTTGTCCACTCGAAATAACCTACCCATGACTGTACCTGCTTGGCTCCTTGCTGCAGCCACCCCGAACTACTAGCCCCACGACTATTTTGGAACACATCCTTGCTGTCGCTGCCCCGAACAAACGTCACACTACTATTCCTGCTAATTGATGTTTGCAGCTTGCTATGCGCCTCCTTGCCTCCACCATCAAGGTCCAAATCCCAACAAGCACCACCTACACCCTATTCTTTAGTATGTCCCGTTATCATTCGCTCTCCGTTTGTCATATTTCCAATTTCTAAATTCTATAAAAAACCTAGCGGTTTTGTTTTTTTTCTCCTCATCTTATTTTCATATCAGTTTTTATATCATTTGGTATCAGATGTAGCTCAACTCTAGTTTCATCTTTGGGTAACCTAAACTCACCAAACCATAGGCAAGTCTTGATCTAACCCTATTCCCCCTTGCTGATTTTCAAAATTAGCAACCCTTATTTTTTTTCTGCACCTTAAATCGCCCTATACATCCACTTTCATCTCCCGAACTTAAACCCTAGCCATGCCACCAAGGAGACAAGTGTCGGAAGTTGATCAGTAACTTATCATGGAAGAGATGCAGCGGAAATCCGCCGACTTTAGCAAAAGATTTGTTGAAATTGAGGAAAGGACCATAGAGAGATCACCTACACCCTATTCTTTAGTATTTCCCGTTATTATTTGATTTTAGTTTATTGTATTTTCAATTTATGACTTCTATAAAATTACTAGTGATTGTGTTTTGATTCTCCTCACCTTATTTCCATATCAATTTTAGTATCATCTGGTATCAGATGTAGCTCAACCCTAGTTCCATTTTAGGGTGATCTAAACTCACCAAATCATAGCCAAGTCTTGACCTAACCCTAATCCCCCTTACTGATTTCAAAATCAGCAACCCTAATTTTTTTCTGCACCCTAAATTGTCATATATATCCTCTTTCACCTCTCAAACTTAAACCCTACCATGCCACCGAGGAGATAAGTGTCGTAAGTCGATCGGTACCTTATAATGGAAGAGAAGCAGCTAGAAATATGCTGACTTCAGCAAAGACTTGCTAAAATTGAGGAAGAGACCAATGTAGAGATCACCATCAATCGTGATAGTAAGATTCAAAGAAAAGGAGAAAATTTTGGATCCCGCCCATAGGGATGATTCCAGTGAACAGGATGACAGGCCACGACACTTTGAGATTCAGTATCAGAGGAGGCCAAGGGATATAATGATTTTTGGAGGACATGGAAAAATGGGGGTGAAGGTAGACTTACCGGATTTTGAGGGTAGGATGAATCCAGATGATTTCTTTGAGTGGTTGCACACTATTGAGAGAATTGAATATAAGGATGTAATATTTGACAGGCGGGAGAAACTTGCTGCCATAAATCTGTATAAGTGTCTTTTTGTGGCGGGATAATTTGAAGAGAGTGAGACAGAAAATGTAAGAACAAGTGCACTAGTTAGGAGATAATGAATAATGAGATGTAGTGGAAATACATACCCTTATACTTATGCTAGGACGTATTATTGAGGCTGCATCACTTACATCAGGGGGAGTTGTCCGTAGAGGAGTTCACAACGGAGTTTGAGCAGCTCATGCTGAAATGTGAGTTGAGGGAGTCAGAGAAGAATATCATAGCCATGTATTTAGGAGTCCTGAAGTCGGCCATCAGGCATGTCGTTCAACTGCAGTCTTAATGGTCATTGAGTGATGTTCAGATATTAGCTCTGAAGGTGAAGAAACAACATAATAGCTTAGGACTCCACCGTCATTCAAACAGTCGCCCACAGTAGGAGCCAGTATGAGTGCACCTAAAGAAGTTGTGAAAACTATTCAGAAAGATGATAGAGCTAATTGGAATTGGAAGAAGCCTGAGAGTAGTACACCCAATATAGTGCCAACAAGGAAGTGTTTTAGATTTCATGAGTTTGGATACATCGTCTTCTTGAGTTCTTTTTACTGAGCAGAGAGCATTAGAAGAAGTGGATGGTGGTACTGGAGACGTAGAAGATAGTGAGGATGTGCAGGAGAAGTAGCTTCCTGCTGTTGAGGGGGGGATGGCTGGTTTCATTCAAACAAAAGCTATAAGAGAGCAGTAGTGGCTTCACCACAACATCTTTTATACCCATTGCACTATGAAGGGAAATGTGAGCAACCTTATCATCGATAGAGATAGTTGTGAGAATATGATGGCTACACAGATGGTGGACAAGTCAAGTTTCACTATTCAGAGACATTCCCAACCATATTTCTTACCTTGGAATAAAAGGTGTGGGAGGAATATAATTTTGTTATAATTTGTGGAAATAATTAACTTAAGTTAACATCACCTTTAGCACTAAAGAAAGGAAGGAGGATTTATGAACTCGTCACTAATGAATATAGTGATATTAGCAATGCCTGATAACTATAGGAAATTTAAAAAATGGCCCCCGTCTTTTTTTCTTGAATTAATATAATATATAACATGATAGAAAATTCAATTAAGATATGTTACAATAATACTATCATAAATCAAAGAAGACTAAATAAATGTGTATCAAATAATTAAATGGAGTTTTTATATAGGACATTAATTGGATGATTATAGTTAATGCATCTATCTTTTTATTTGCCCCTCAAGAAGAGGCTTCATTCAAAGAGTTGATCTTTATATTCAATGAACATTTGGAATTAGTTTGATGAGAGCATCTGCTAGTTGATCATCAGATGAAACATGTGCCACATGAAGGGCATTACTTTGGATTCGTTCTCAAATAAAATAATAATCAATAGCCATGCATTTCATCTATTAATGAAGAAAAGATTAATATAGATTCAAGTATTGATGAGTGACACTCACGTTGTCACAGTAGATTATTGGCACCCCTGAGAATGTGAATTAGTTTATTGACCAGGGAGTATACTCAGCGAAGTTTAATAGCTAAGGCAGCCATAGAGTAATTTAGTTTTTGCAGGAGAGCAGGGTATGCTATTTTGTTCCTTGCCATGCCAAGTGATTGTTTTGAACTAAGATACATAATGTGGCCACTTGTAAATGTGAGGTTTTCTTTATTATCCACGCCTAATTTCCATAAAATAAGGGATGAAGTTGGAGTGATCAATCACGGTGAAGGAGAATTCCAAGATTAATACTTCCACATAGAAGCGTAGTAGCTATTTTGATGTGGTCCAATAGTTAATAATGTGGTGATGCATAAAATGAGTCGATTTATAAATCATGAAAGTTATGTTTGGGGACCAGAGCTAAGTAATGTAGACTGTCCTGAAAGAGCTGTGTAACTAGTTGGATCAGTGAGTGCAAAACTTGAGGGAAGAGCAAGTGTTGGTGAGGTAGCAAGTAGTGCAGTCACAGGAGTTGCATCCATCATCTTAGCAGAAGCAAGGAGATTGAATATATACAAATGCTTGGATAAAGGTTCATGTTGATGAAGAACATACTAAACAACTTCCATATGCAATAGCCCGGGGACCTTCAATAGAGACTTGTTGGGCAAAAAGGGTGACAGTATCAGAGTTAACTATGATAATATTATAAGTAAAAGAAACTAAAAAAATAAATAATTATATCACTAATATTGAAGAGAAAGAGAGACTCATCAGTCAAAGAGCTAGTGTAGCTTGAAGTAATTAGAATATATTGTAGCTCATAATAATAGTGGATTGGGGTTTGTTTGAGTCTATTTATTGCCTTTGTGAAGTTTGCATTCATATTTGAGATGATCTATATTGATGAAGTCCAGGGGCTAGATCAAGAAGACATCCTCAGAGAAATGAATTTTAAGAAGAGCATTGTTGACATAAAATTGATGACAAGATCACCGTCGGCTGACAACTGAGATGCAGCAATACAATGGAAGACTCTACAATTTGGTTGAAGTTGTCATGATAGTCAAACCTTAGCTTTTCTAACAAAGTGTTGTATCTTTCAACAGAGCCATCAAAGATATGTTTGATCCAAAAGATCTACACGTAGTCAATTAGTGTTTGAGTGGAGGCGGGGGGGATAAGTTGTCATGTTCCATTATAAATAAGAGAATCATATTCATTTGGCGTGAGCCTCGCAAGTTATGTATTTTGAATGCTTTGGTTTATAGTGGTTGGTCAAGGTTAGGTGATTGTTTTAGTTTGGATTTAAAAGTGGGTTTTGGATTTGTTTATGAATGTTGTTTCTAGTTCAGGTGGTTAATGGGTGACGGTGTTACGATGGCAGGGGGTTGGGCAGGTGTTGTTGAGTAAGAGTCTCAAGCTTTCTTTTTAAGGAGGTGGAGGTTTGCTTGAGGCTATATATGGCTTTTTGAAGCTTACAAATGTACATCTGGAATGATCTATATTGATGAAGCCTAGGGGTTAAGAAGACATTCCCAGAGAGATGGATTGGAGAAGCCATTGTTGACATCAATTTGACCAGAGACCATTGTCAATTGACGGTCATGCTGAGAACTAGCAGTACAATGGGAGACATTACGTTTAGGTTAAAGATTTCATGATATTCATCCCTCTGTCGTTAGTGAAAACCTTCAGTCACTAATCAAATAATGTATCATTAAATAAAACCTTCAAAGTTATGTTTGATCCAGAGAATCTACTTATAGTCGGTTAGATTTATAGTGGGTCTGGGAGGACAAGTTCTCATGTTCCATTATAAACAATAGCAACTATATTCATTCGGCATGGCCTTCTGGTTAATTTTGATCTTTGAGTACTTGGGTTACAGTGGTTGGTTCAAGGTTCCGTGATTGGTTTAGTTTGTTGCGAGAGTGAGTTTTTGGTTTGGTTTATGTTATTTTTAGTTAAGATGGTCAATGAGTGAATTTTGCTGTGATGGGAGAGGTCTGGGTGAGTGACATGGTGGGAGGTGGGTGGGGGAAAGTGTCTTAAGGTGATGGAGATGAAGAAGTTAAGATTCTATAAACATACATGATGGGATAAATTTTGGATGTGGTGGTTTCAAGAATGAGATAGCTACTTTTAGCGAGGGAGTAGCCAATTAAGATACAAGGTTTGGAGCAAGATTCACTTTTTTTTGTGATACACTAACAAATTTAAGTGTAGCAGAGGTGGCCAAACAGAGTCTAGAATAGTTGGGAGGCAAGCCAAAGAGTCATTCATATAAACAGAAGAGGTCAACTTTGGGGCTCCCAAATGACTTATAAGTTAGATTCTCATACAAAATATATGAGTGCAGTGAGGTGGAATGTCCATATGAGACACGACAGACAAATTTTGACAATATATTGGCGATGTCTTTAAGAATCCACTATGTTTAGGCATGTGTGGTGGGCTAGTGAGATGAGAGATGACATTAGTGAAGTGTAATAATGTGCCAAGACTCTGATACTTGCCACCATCATTTGAGTGTAGATCATTTGAGTGTAGTGATTTGTTCGGGTTCGAAGTGTTTTTCCACTAAGGCTTTGAAGCCAATAAAGGCAATCATAAACATAGATTTTTAGTTAAATGGATAATATTGGATGCATTTAGTGTGGTAATTGGCAGTAATGATTTATTTGAATCCATCACATGATTAATCAGGTGAGATCCATACGTTTGAAGACAATATTTCAAAAGGTTAACAAGATACAATTGTGGAGCGAAAAATGGAAGTTTATAACTTTCATTGTAGTGACAGATATTGTAATAGAGAGGTGATGAAAAATTGAATGAAAAGTCTAGATTGAACTAAGAAAGAACATATTTAAGAATTGAAATTGAGAGAGGGCCTGATTCATGATGCCACTCGGATGAAGTGTTTTGACATTAAAAAAACAACAAGTGGAGATAATTGGTGTGAAGAGAATATGGTTATTTATGCACAGCATTTTTGGTTTGCTTCATTAGAGTGTCCCCATGTGTAGATCCTTCACATTGTAAGTAGCGGTTAGAAACTTGAGTGATACATGATCTGAATGGCATGGTTACTAAATAAAAATAATGTTCTTTTTACATGCTAGGTTGAATTATGGAGGTCAACATTGGAGTTTAAAGGCCTTCGTTTGAGTAGGTTTGAGTAGATCTACATGGAATGTAATTTTAGTAGTAGTAGCTCTGGCAGCAGAGTTGTAACTATGGGTGATCAAATCATTGAAAGGTGCAAACATTTGAGTGTGCCTACATTGGGTCTACTTTTCAAAGTGATGGTGATATAGAGGGGGATGTTATTAGTAGAATTCATGTTGGTTGGTTGAAGTAAATGAATGCAGCAGGCCTATTGTGTGATAATAAAGTACAGCTTAGACTTGAAGGAAAATTTTATAAGATGGTGAGACTTGCAATGCTTTATAGGGTAGAATGTTGGCCGTCAAAAGAGAAGCATAAAACAAAATTAAGTGTTGCTTAGATGAGAATGCTTAGGTGGATGAGTGGCTTGACACTTAGAGACAAAATGTGAAATGAATCTCTCAGTGAAAGGGTTGGTATAGCTCCAGTTGCAGATAAGATTAGAGAGAACCGTCTTAGATGGTTTGTATTAGATTCAACTTATGTTTAGAAAAGCAGAGGTAGAACTAAAAAAATTTGGGCATATTATATAAAATATATCTTAATCTATTATAATTAAATGAAAATATGATACACAATAGGAGAAAAAGGATAAAGGCTTGTTGTTTTACATGCTAGGTTGGCAAAGAATATTATTCAAGAAAAAAATTACTATAGATAAATGTTAAAAGATTTGGATCCATCATATCATCTCCAATTATAATATTTTCAAAACAATTGGTTGAAGTGTGATATGAGTGATTGCACAGTTTAATAGTCATGTGATGAAAAGCACCGCTATCTAGCATCCATGTAAGAGTGACTAGACCATTTTTGGTAGCAGAGTGGGTGCATAGCTTCTGTGAGGTCGGTCAGCCCTGAGAGTGAGGTTCTGATGAGCAGAATTTAGTTGTGGATTTGGAGGAGACCCGTCGAATATCAGTGTATTATTTGATTGAAGGTTGCTTGCTTAATAATAACCAAGATATGATTGGGGATGCTGCAATCATTAGAGTGAGTTGTTTTATATGAACTACGAGGGCTTGAGGCTGGAGTGGTGGCGGACACTGCTAATTGTCCGAGGAAGTCATTGGGCTAGCAATATTTGAGGTGTTTGGGTCTTCAGAATGAAATAAAAAGTGCACAGAGGGGAGAAGTCAAGAGAATTTGCAGTGTAGAAGGGTATCAATGTAAGGATTGCGCGTAGATGCACTTTAGACCATACAATTGGAGTTGCTTGGTGATGGTGAAGGTAGGGATTAATGACTGAGATCTTGAATTTGGGTTGGTTTAAGACCTGCGATCAACATTTGAACAAGGAAAGCTTTGTGGCATGGTAGGGTGAAATTCTAAAGCACAACATGCTACGACTCACATTTATTTGCTAGCAATTGGTGTCCACGACACGTTTTGGTGGGAGACTGAGACCAGGTAGTGATAGACGTTGCTTAGATTTACAACATAGTCTTATTGGTGGTGTTCCAACTGGTCATTGAGGTTTAATTGGGGGTCAAAGTCAGCAGTTAGAGGTGATGGTTGGCAGAGGGTTGGTGCCTATTGTGATGGACATTGTCAAAGGGATCAAATTTGGGCTTTGGGCCACGTACTGAGAGAAGGATCTGTGCATTTACATGCATACCACCCAATTCTAATGTATTTACATATCTAACACCTATAATTCTATTTTTACATTTATACCGCCCAAATCTTTCATATCACATCAAACGTGCCACTATTTTAACTTTTAAAAAGTGAAATACACCTTTTGATGCATGGTGGGTGGCATTGCCATATTTAAAAATTGAAGTTTAAGTGTTAGATATGTGAATATATAAGAAATGAGTGGTATGCTTGTAAAATCTTCCTTAAACTTATTAACATTTGTCAATTCATGGATGAAATATCTCTATTACCTGCAATCCTTGTGTATCAGAACATGATTTTATGCTTCGTTTGCAATGTTTCACACACAATACCTTGTTATTAGGACCACAACTAGGGGGTGTCAAATCGGTTTCAAGAGTTAGGTTCAGGTCTGATTTAAAATTAAGCCAACCTGAAACTGCTCGACCCAAGCCCGACACGAGTATTAAGCATCTCAGAAAGTCCAACCCTAACCCTACCCGTATAACCCAAACATAAGACATAACAGCTATTCGGGTCAATCTCTAGTCAGTTTCAAGCTAGAATGTTGATTTCGTGTCAATTTGGGTTAGCGGGTTGGTTTTGGGTAGACGGTCAATCTGTACCCAACCAAAAAATAATTCAGCTCAATCTGAACCCGGATAGAGTTCGGGTAGCGTGTCGGCATGATTCATTTTCTCATATTGGATGTTCAAAACTTAAAATCAATGTAGGGCTGTTATAATTACTCCTGCATGTTGTGATTTTAGGTTCTGAAAAACATGGGGGAAATACTTGAAGCCAGTGGTGCAGGCTATTCTTCTGTCGTTAAGACTACAATCATGTAATAGATTTAGTTCCTTTTTTTTTGTCCCATAAGCATCAACTACATGAAGGAGATTTATTTTCTGCTAGCTATAATTCTTGTTCTTTTGACAGGTTAGCTGACCTGAAGGATTTCAAAAAGGTTAATGAGATTTATTCCAAATGTGAGTTCCTTATATTTATTTTTCTCTGATTTTCATGCTTTTTTATTTGAAAATAGGTGAAAAAACAGCGAAAATAACAGCAAAATAGTAAAGAAGATTAATTCTTTAACACTTCAGTAATTTTATGCTTATCCCCTTAATACTTGTTACGTTTAAATCACACAAAAAAGCATCACTAATATTACTTTTTTCTCAATAAAATATTTTAATGTGATTTAGGGTGTAAACAAGCCGAACATGAGCGAGCCCAGTCTCAGTCGCTCGTGTTCGGCTCATTTATATTTTGAACCCAAAAAGTGTCTTCGTGTTCGGCTCGCTAAGCAAATGAGCCGAACACGAGCTGTTCGCGAACAAAGTCATTTTGATAACCCTAATCACGCAATTGTAGGATGTTAACGTTTAGGGCAAGATTTAAATCTTATTGTTTATATTAAAACATTATTTGAATATAATTTGATATATTTTTATTCTATTTTTTTAATTAATAATTTTAATTGATTATAAATCTTTATAGCCTTGTAGTTAATTAGATTTTTTTAAAAATAATGCCAAAACGAGCCGAACGCGAACGAACAAATTTTTTTTCGTGTTCGGCTCGTTTATATATCGAGCACAAAAAAGTGTGTGTTCGGCTTGTTAACTTGGCGAACAAACAAATCGAACACGAGCTTCTTAACGAGCCGAACACAAGTTGTTCGTGAACAATGGGCCATTTTGACAGCCCTAAATGTGATTGTGACACTATACTAAATATCAATGTTAATGCGCTATTCATATAAATACAAAAGAATTGCATGGTATGCATATAAATTTTCATATGTTTTATTGTGGGGGTTTTAACTGCCGTAATAATCTCGAATACTATGTGAAGATGATGCAAAAAAGCATCACTAATATTCGTTTTTTCTAAATGAAATATATCATTTTATGCATATATTTTGATGTGATTGTGACTCTAAATCTATATTATAAGTAAATCAATGATCTAATCTTTGTAGCGTTTTTCTCTTCACTGAGCGAATTAGGCGCTATAACTCAACATTTTCTGTCATAACTTGCTTACACGAGCAACACGAGAGTAAAAGCTACTGCAAGAAAATGATTCCTTATAGGGAAATTTACATACATACCAACACTTTCTATATATTTACATATCTAACACCAAAACTTAAATATTTCTAGTATCAATGCATTTCACTTTTATAAAGTATGTGATACTAGAAATATTTAAGTTTGGGTGTTAGATTTGTAAATACATAAAAATTATATTTTTATGGAAATGCATCTTCCTTACAACTCTATGATGGTTTCAGATTTCTCAGCTCCTGCACCTGCTCGCTCTACCTATCAAGTGGCAGCATTGCCAATGGATGCAAGGATTGAAATTGAGTGCATAGCAGCACTGTAGAAGAGCCTCCCTCTCTCCCATTTTCTGAAATCCACTGAATAAATATTTAATTTTGCTTTTTTTAAGCTCATTTTGGACCTTAAAAACTAATTATTCCGAAATCAATTGTCTTCTAATGTTCTGATTTGAGTTCTTATTTTGAATTCAGCTGTGAGGCAATTCGCTCATAAAATTTTCATTTCAGCAGCTTATTTTGTGTCAGAACTGCTGTGAGGAAATGTATCATTATAATTCTCTGTTAAATTTTTCTATTTTTCTTTTTCACTATGAGGAAATGTGGTATGCATGTAAAATTAAATATATAAATACATAAAAATTGAATGGCATGTATGTATGTATATCTTTCATTCAAATATGTAAATAATACTGCACTGGCAAATACACATCTCCCCAATTCCTATGTAGTTGTATGCTAGAGACAATAATATTACATTAATGTTGGGAAATCATTAGAAACAATCATACACATTATAATCAGGCAATCATTAATTGCACAAAACTCTCAAACACATCAGCAGAGTTATATTTCAACACTAAAATGTTGGGGCACGTACCCACCAAATTATATATATTTACATATCTAACATCAAAATTTTACGCTTAATATACACCACCCTAAAACTTGGAACAGCCAGAAATCCGCTTTAATTTAATGGCCTCACAATTTAGTCCAATAATAAACAAATAAATATAAGAGGCTTCTGCAAGCTTTTGTTAAAATATAGGGGCATTTACATACCCCCACACATGCCACAATCTATGAATGAAAATATGTTTATACACTTTTAAAAGGCTAAAATAGTGGTTATTTTAATGTGATATGAAATATTTTAGTGGTATAAATGTTTATCATGTAACCTCACAACAATCCAAATCCAGAAAAATTATGAGAAACAGGAATTACTTGAAAGAAGAGAACACACAAATTTATTATTAAAGCACATTGTCACCGAAATGAAAGGACAATAAAGTCTCACAATAGGACACATAGAAGTGATGCAGACGAAATTAAAGGTAGCAGTTTGTTGCATATAAAATGCATATATTAGAAGGTATTAAAATGTGAAGTTCTCCAGCAAAAGTAGTAAAAGGCCTACTACTAAAACACGCAAAGAAACCACAAGCCTTGAGGTACTCAGAAACCATGAATCTTGATTTGCTCTTTCTTCACTATACCGGCCTGCAAAATAATACAGAAATGTTGAAGGGGCTGTTTGGGATCATTTTTATTTTGGAGCATTCACATACTGACATACACACCACCCAAATCTTTCATATCAGATAAAAAAGTGAATTGAACCTTTTCATGCATAATTAAGGAGGCATATGTACAAATTGAAGCTTAGATGTTAGATAGATACATAAAAATTGAGTGGTATGCATGTAAATCTTCCTTCTATTTTTTTATTTTTCATTTTTTTAATATTTATATGCTTTTGTAATTACATATCTAACACCAAAACATTCATATTTATATTTATAAAACTTTGACGTCATAACAAATGCATGAAAATGTGTATTTCACTTTTAATAAGTAATAGTGATATTTTTTGTGTGATATTAAAGATTTGGATGCTATGTATGTAAATGTAGTTATTTAGTTGTTAGATATGTAAAGACATGAATTGTGTGGTATGTATGTAAATGTCATTAAATAAAACCATATAAAAAATTAGATCAGCCAAATATGTTTTTACAAAAAAAAAATAAAATGAAAAAAAAAAACAAAAAACAAACAACAAAAATGATGCCAAAGGGGGGTCCCTAAATGAATGATCATGGACACAACCTAAAGCATGCAAGAGTAATGCTAGTGCTTGCAATGCCAATAAAAAGTACCTGGATTAGGAAGGTGGACACATTCTTCCTCTGATCACCTTGGAGTTGAATGACCTGCTCAGATTTAAAAAAAAAAAAAAAAAAGCTTATGCATTGAAAGATTGAAAACCAATAAGAGCCAGTACAATTATCTTCAACTCAATAAGAACTTGCAAAATCTTTAATATTAAAAATCAGTGAAGCACTTCATAAATTATTAAAAACATGAATCTTAAAAGATATTACAATGGAAAATTACAATTATTTTTCATAAATTTGGAGCCATCCATAAAGAAAAATTGTTAGAAGCATTTGATGATAGTCATGAATTGAGCTGGTTCATGTTTGGTTTATTTCCAGAATGATATTAATAAATTAGACACAAATAAATGTTTTTTCAACTTATTCACAAACTTAAACTCATTCATATTCCAATCGATAGTTAACAAGCTGAGCAGAATAGATCCCCAACTTGTACCACAGCTCAAACCAAGTAGAGTTACCAACGCATATAAACAAAGATGGGAAATTTACTTATCTAACAACTAAAGTTTGATATTTACATTTATAACGCTATCTATGCATAAAAAGGTGCATTTGACTTTTAAAAAGTTAGTACAACTGATATTTTTTATGTGATGTTAAAAATTTGAGTGCTGTGATTATAAATATTAAACTTTAGGTGCTAGATATGTAATTACATAAGAATTGTGTGGAATGTATGTACATGCCCCAACAAAGAAATCGGATGAAGCATACCTGTCCAAGTTCAGGGTCCTCCACAACTGTACCATTGCAGCAAAATTCTTTCTTCAGGTCTTTTAAGATCTTAGTTTTACTATATTCTTTCTTCAGCCCCTGCACAGTTGTCAGGCTCTTCCTCCCATTACGCTGCTGAACACGAATGTGCACGTACTCCTTTGACCCAGCACCAGCATTATCAGCATTAGCCTCAGCAAATGGATCTGTCACAGAATTTTTGCAGCCATAATTAATAAAAATACAGCTCATTGACTACAGCGACAAATAATTTTTTTTTTCTCGCAAAGTGAAAATCACAGACTATCTACAATCACTAGTCAAAATATCATGAGTTCGGCCCAAAAAAGTTCATTCGTTTATGTGAGAAAGCAGATTGAAAAACGGGTTTTTTGTGCGGAGTTATTGTTAGCTACTGAGAAGCAGAGTATTGCAGGTATGTACAAGCGGAAACAGTTAATAAATACCTCTAAAAAGGGATTGTAGCAAGGAGAACTTTTGTTAACTATCTAAGATAAAAAAATAAACACGATCTTGAGGATAAAACATGATTTCATTAACAAGAGTATTAATAATTATCAGACACAGTATCTGTATTCCATTATGAGATAGCCTAATTAATAAATTGCAAAACTTGACCAGCCAGAGAGCATCAAACTAGTTTACAATAATGTAACCTCAAAATATCATTCCAGAGGGAAGAAAACAGAAACAATTGCTTAGGGCTTGTTTGAGATCAATTTTGATTTCTATTTTTTCTCTTTGTTTTTAAAAATATGCTTCTTTAATGTGCTTTTTATATATTTTTATTTTTTGTTTCTAAGAAAGATTAAAATAGTTTTAAAAACACTCAAAATAAATTTGTTTATAAGAAAAGACAATTATACTTAATTGAATATGTTAAACATGCTTTGTTTCAAAACAAAACATAAAAATAATAAAATAAAAACAAGAGATAGAAAATAAAAAACAAAAGTGATCCCAAAAAGCTTCAGGTTGGGAACATACCAAAGGTAGTAGGAATCTGGGCGTCGAGATCAGACATGAACCTTGTTTTTTGAAGTATAGATGAGAAGCAACAGAGCAAAACTTTTCACTCACAAGAGCTACCTCAAACTGCAATATTTTAATCTGTCAATAATCAAAGGCGATATAGAATCAAAAAATACAGACAATGAAATTTAAGTCGTTGAGCCAATGCTCTGAAAAAAGTTTAAAGCCGCACATAAAAGAAACATAATCAATCTACAGAACTGTCAACACCATGATCCTTTTTTTCTAAAAGTTCCTATCTTTATTACAGTGACCTGTCCAGAACACGTAAATTCAACTATGCGATCTAACCTAGGAAGGAAGTCATTATGTTATCTTCCAGCGACTTGAGCTCACGGGCAAATAACGCTCCCGCCTCTAAAAAGATTTTCTTCCCTTTCTATGCCATCCATTCTCCAACTTTAAAGAACAAAATCGCAGGCAATAAATTCCCAACTTGCCAGTACCAGTACTCAAATATTAAAGCCAAAGCACAACAAGAAAAAAACCCTCAGGAGGTTTCGATCTGTTGCACTAATCACCCGCCAAAGAACAAAGCTTTACGTTAGCATACGCTAAATTACATTTAACCACATAATGCTTTCATCTTTCTACAACGGTTCCATTTCAGATACGGGAACAGAGGGGCAAAGTAAACCGGGATTTCTTAAGATAAGCTATGGCAAGAAAAAGAACAAAGGGGCAGTTTGCCTGAAGTCGTATTTAGTAAATCCTGTAAATCCAGATTCATTAGTAAAGCTTGAGGGGATCTGTTGCAACAGTTCAATCCTGATGAATGATTTGTGAGAGGGAGAAGTTCTTCGATCACCTGAATCCTGTTAATGATACCAAGATACTGTTTGGCAGGAGTTGAGTAAATTTGTACTTAATCTTGCCCAAAATAGGACACCAAACAGTTCCTAATCTTAAAGGATTAGCAGATGAAAAAATTACCGACGTTACCCAGATCAACAAACCTAGTAAATCTCAAACCCTAATAAAAGGCACCGGTCAACATGATTGAATAACGCCGACTCCAAACCAATAAAAACAAAAACACACACCATCCGATCATCAAATCAAACACCTACAATAATTTCAACCTCTGATTGCTAATAAAAGAAACAAAATCGCAAAATCAACAGAGAAAATTTACCCAAATCAAGAGAAATCAAGAAGAGCAAACAGGAGCGACGATTTCCAAACCCACCAACGAATTATTTGGGAGAAAGAGAGAGACTCAGATCGATCGATCAAATTCCTCTCGAATCGATCTTCCGATTCTCGACTCCCTCTTTTTCGATCGCTGAAGGGCGGAAAGAACGCTACTTTAAAGACTTTCGAGCGGTTGCTATCGTCATTAGTCCATCTTATCGCTTTGAGATATTTTGTTCGATCATAGCCGTCCACTTTTCGGCCGCCAAAAGGGCAACTCATTCAGGACAAATTTTCAACAAATTATATATATATATATATATATATATATATAATTATGTTGTATGATGGAATATTCATGATAGTATAAAAAATGTTGATATTGAATGAAATCACAATCATATGTATAATTTAGGATAAAATCAATGAGAATAAATTAACCCATTATAAATTAGAGTATAGGAACTCTTAAATTTATTTGCCTAAGCTAAAAGGTAACTAGTTATATTCAAGTATTTGCCTAATTGTCAGTGTCTAAACTGAGAATGTACTCGACCAATTCAAATCACTTGTGCTCATAAGACATTTGCCTAGATTAGAATAACACTAGCCTAATTCAAAGGGCTTTCTCTTATACCAAAGATACTCACCTCACCTGCCTTAGAAACACTCACTTGAGATCTCAAAAGAAAATCATTTATTCAGAAGTGACAACTTTGTTTCTTCTTTCAATTTAACTTTAAGAGTGTTCTCCATGTAGCAATCCACATAAATTGTGATCATTACATTTGCGTGCAAGTAACAAATATATTATTTTTAATTTATTAGTTCAAAATGTAACTCTTATTATAGCATCCAAAAGTCCAATAAATATAAACTCAAATGTCTATTTTGAGTAAGTGAGATAATACTATGAATTTCTAAATAATAAAATCTCTTAAAGCTTCTCTATTTCTATTGTCTTATTCTAATTTTCTCCTTTTTTTTCTCCTTGCCTAAGGTTATAGCGCATTTTGTGAGTTTTATAAGTAAGCCCAGACATCATCATGGATAAGTTTAAACTTCTTAAGTATAAATAGTATGAATTGAGGCAAAAATTCAAAAAGTAATTTATTTTTGTTATTTTTTCTCTTTTATTTTTAAGGAGTAGTCAGTTTGTCTGTTTATGATCGACGCATTATTCTCTTATTCGAGTAAGAACCGAAAGTATGGATATACAATGGGCAATAGACAAATGAGAGAAAGAACATGAAGAATTTTTGTGAAGTGAACTTCACATGGATAACTCCAAAATGTACATCCAAAACAAGATCAAATCGAAAATAACTTGGATACATTTCTGCGAAGATGACCTTACGAAAGCAATCCACAACCAGAGAATCAAGATTTTGTGCTTTTTCTGGGGTCAAGAGCATTCTCGAAGAAACGTAGTCCTTTGGTTCATTACATCTTGGGGGATATCTAAGAAAACTCTCGATAAAAACAATCTTGCTAACATGATTTAATGAAATCTGATTATTTAGGAAATCACTGGATTTAAATCATCTCAAGGGAAAATTCTGATGTTTTTGGCATTTATGCCGGGTCATAAGACAAAAAAGGTGAATCACCGCAACTACTAAGGCCACGACACCTAAGCATGACAGGCCCACGAGACGATATCAACCATTCATCAAAAGAATCGACAGGGCTTAAAAGAGGCGTCAACAAGAAAGAAAATATCATCTAAAAAGGTAGATTTGACATCCCAAGCTATGTAGACCTTAAGACTACTTTGTTGAGAAGACACGACTCAACACAACCAAAGACTCTTTGTCAGCAATCCGTGAATTGCATCATCCAAGGAAGTATCGGTAGTCCTAAATTCAAAAGAAGGAAACTCTAATTCCTATAACCTTAAACAAGTAGAGCTCAAAGAGATGGAGCTTACGCAAGCCAATAAAATGGCAGGGTTGTCGCTGGAAAGATGAGAAAATGAGGTTCACCTACATAGCTGGAAATGTTTCGCACAAAAGACTTATATCTCGTCTGGGTCGGGGATGCATCTAACACCCTAGCAGTACAAGACACCCTCCTAGGGAAAAAGTTATGCTTGGCCAAGTCAAATATGGAGAAGCACGAGGACTTCTCCATGGTTATATACCTATGATGCAGTTGTCTTTCATAATCATGTGACGTGAAAGCCTTATTAATTATGACTGGGAATATAATCATGCATGTTGCCCAATTTAAAGTCGGCTTGAAGGACATGCATAAATGTAAAAGTGCGTGCTTTAAAAAATTCAAAATATTTTAACCCTAAATTTTAATTAATCTTAATCTTTTATTATTAAGATTTTGTATAAAGTTGAAAATTTTCGGATCTTCAATGAGTTTAGATTATTTTTCGTGATTAATCACAAAATAAAACAAGGAGAAAACAATTTCAAGCACCCAAGTATGCAATAGAAAAGTAAAAGCACCCCCAAAATAAAAATAAAAAGGCCGGTGTTGTTGGGTCAGCAACATCTCCCAAGAAAGAAGTAAAAGCGATCGGACTCCGCATATTTATACCCGAAAATAATGTTATACAAGAAAATAAATTCAGAATTAAAGTACGGGACACGAGTTGCTGCTCCTGATCTTTATCATATGATTCGAAGCGTCATCCGTCTCAGAACCCGTGCTGGTACCTTATTTATGATACAGACTCGTTCCTATGCCTCTGTCAAATACATATGAAAGAGAAAATAATAGACTTGACCTGCAAAAAAGTTAGCATGATTCAACATGCAACACATATGAGCCATGTCTGGCGGGAGGAGCTTATAGCGGCTTTTGTAAGAAAAGAGGTTAGCATATCAATCATGACATTGTTCATCCCTTATTAAACATGTGTGTGTATATTTAGGCATGACACCCTGCTAGAAAAATTGATTTAATACACTATTGCGCATACACAAACACGATAAACATGCAAGCACATAAAAAGAACGAGTAGAAAAAGACACCTGGTTAGGACAACCAAGCCAGCACAGAACAATAGTCAGGTATCAAAAATACTACATAACAGACTGTCATAGCCTAGCACATTATCTAATGGAAAGTGTCATAATCAACATTTAAGCGCTCAGGGCGCAGTCTCCGGGTATGTGTGACTTTGACGTGATCGTCAATTTCGACCCCGTCCTAACGATCTAACAAACGTCACTCAAGATGGATTTTATAAAGCAGTTGACCATGCAAATGGCTTAGCTTGTTATTTGCATAATTTTAAAAGATAGAATAGATTTTATAAGTAGAAAAATATTAATACTTTTTTTTATTTTAAACTATGATCTTTAAATTTCGACCCGTAACATGCAAAATGGCACGAGTTAGATCTTTTGGATCATTAGCACAATTTTACTTGTGTTAATCTCGATGCTTTAATTAGCATTGCTCCCTAGGATATACTTAGCGAATAATACTCGTTAAAGCATCACGATCAACACAAGGTCACTCACATGTCGAGTCCAACTTGCTACTAAAACATGCAGACAAATGTAAATGCGAGCAAACATAACAGAAGGTTCAACACCGTGATCACTCAAATTGGGTATGAGCAAACATGATGGAAAATCATCAAACAACATGCAAATGATAGAACTTAAATGCAGAAAAGTTGTACGCTCGATGGGTTCCTCTCGTCGAAACACCCAAACTGACTATAAGCACGTCAAATTTGTAGTTTATTTAATCCTCTAATTAATTATTCAATGCTTTCAAATATGATTGAATGACTTGATTTAGGCTTGATTGAACTCAGATTGGACTAATTTCAGTACAACTGAGTTCGTCTTATCTAGATAGACAGTTTGACTATAAGCTTCTTGAAATCAGAGCTCTGAAGACTTTTTAATTTGAATAAAAAATAATTATAATTAAAAAGATAACTCGAGATCCATACTAAATTATGAAATTCCGTAACGACGCATCAAGTCTAATCGAGAGGATTCTTAGAAACTAACCCAGGGCATAGATGACTACAATTGACCTTCCCCAGCTTGGTCTAAATATAACTTAAATAATTTAATAATTCAATTATGTTCAGTTGATATTATCCAAAGTGCAAATGTTAAGGCCATAGGCAAATATCTGCATGTCTAACACCTAAATTTTACTATTTATATTTATAAACTCATAACAAGCAATTCAGACAAGTAATGCCTAAAATTATTTGGGGCATTTACATACATGGTACACGATTCTGATGCACTTACATATCTCATATCTATATTTACATAATTTTATGAATAGCATTTAAGTTTTTAATATCACATAAAAAATAATATTTGTATCAATTTTAAAAATAAAATATATTTTTCATGCATAAATTTGAAACACCAAAGTGATATGATTATTTATCTGTGTGTGTGTGCGCGCGCGCGTGCGCACTGTCAGGAGATTATGGAGGTCACTTCACCAGACTAGCCAAGCCAATCAAATCAAAATCAACTAAAGCACGAGGTGAATGAAAAGACAATTGAATGGGCCAAACACCCGATCGAAGTCTATATGAAAGAACATCCAAGTCAACTGCTACAAGAAAACTGACTCCATGCAATAGCCTACCCCCACCAGACTGACCCAAAGGATAATCCAACGCTATAATGTGTCTCCAACCATCCTGTAGAGACTCCAAATGCTTCACTTCAAGGGCTGAGAATAGTTAACCATGTTAGATCAACCGATTGGACTACACCGACCAACCTCAGTAGACCAAGTTGATCATGTCGACCCGAAGTCAACTATGCTTAGTCGGCTGAGCCAAAAGGCAGTCAAACGACAAACTCAAACATATAAATACTAGAAATATTCTAATACATACCCATTCCTGATAGGGGCAAAAATGCAATATTATTATTGTATTATCTCCCTTATAAATAGAGGAAACATTGTATGAAAAGGATAATATTCAACATTGTTCCTTACTCTCACGATTAGTACATGTGACCTCATGATGAAAACTACACCTTCAACTACGGGTTTATTTGGGGCAGCTTGTTCGTTTCAGGATAAGCAGTTATCCTGAAACGCGGCCCGCGGGTTCACTTGTGACCTACGTTTAGTGTAGAAAATCCAAACGTGGCAGACAACGTTTTCAAAATGCGCAAACAAAACGGTTAGGCGGCGTTTTCAAAAA